GGATATAGTATGGGAAGGAAAAAAGTCATGAAGCAATTTTAATCTCAAAGTTTAAGGGAAGATAAAGAGTGTATGTACCCACGCCATTGTGATCGATTCTCAGTCATGTCACACAGAGTCTCCAACCATTGGTTACGATAGTCACGAGGACCCCAACCAGGTAGTCTTCATCTACCAACATGGCCCAGACTAGAAGTTAGTGACTTCAAGGACTGTTGCTACGTTTTGGTTTGGCCGCCCCAACTTTCTTCCAACTATTCCCAACACTAGTCAGCATTGCGCATTGTGGTAATCGGTGTTCAGGTATACGTAACATCTCAGTCGATGAAGATTCATCACCTCATCAACTGATTTACCATCATTCCCTAATACCCTGTGTTTAACCTTACTATCATTTAACCCGATGATCCCAGCAGATGCGAGCAATATTTCTAAGGTATCTGTGGTCAAATACTAGTAACCTACGAGTATCTTCTACTCTTAATGGCCATGTTTCACAGCCGTAAAGTAGAACAGAGCGAACTGCTGTGCAGTATACTCGTCCCTTAATTGATAGACGGATATCTCGTCTTCGTCATAGGTGACGTAAGTTGGCGAAAGCCAAACGAGCTTTTTGAATCAGTGGAGAGATTTCGTCAGACACCAACCCATTAGGGCTGATCAGACTTCCAAGATAAGTGAAGTTGTCGACGCGTTCGACTACTTCACTCCCTATCCTTAGTTGAGGTGTTGACGCAGGTCAGTCCTGGAGTAACAATTTACATTTGGATGGGGAGAAACGCATCCCAAATATCCTGGCATTGTTACTCAGTGCTTGCAGAAGACTCTGAGTTTTATCAGCGTCTTCACCAAACAGGACTATGTCATCTGCGTATTCTAAGTCGATAAGTGAACCTCCTGGTAGAAGATCAATTCCTGAAAATTCAGTCGACGAGAACGTTATTTCCAGCAACAGGTCTATAATGAAGTTAAACAAAAATGGAGATAGTGAACAACCTTGTTGGACACCACTTGAGGATGTAAAATCATATGAAAGTTCGCCATAAGCTCTCACTCGACTGGTAGTGTTCGAGTAAAGAGCCTTCACAAGGTTTATGTACTTCTCAGGTACACCTTTCAATGACAGACACTGCCACAGAACCTCTCGGTCTACAGAGTCAAATGCTGCTTTCAAGTTAAGAAAAACTATAATTGTCGGACGCCGATAAGCATGTCTGTGCTCTAAAACCTGACGAATGGTGAATATGTGGTTGATGCAGCCATGACCAGGTCTGAAGCCAGCCTGATTTTCTAGTGTTTGCGGTTCACGAGTCTTAGTTAGGCGCCTGATAATTATTGAGGCTAGTATTTTAGATGCTATGTTGGTCAGACTAATCCCTCTATGGTTATTACAGGATGATTTTGACCCCTTCTTATATATTGGGACAATCAGATATTGTGATCAGTCGGATGGGATTACGTCCAACTCTCAGATTTTGGTCAAAATATTAGTCAACCAAGTAGCTAAAATCGGGCCACCATATTTAAAGACCTCTGGAGTCAATCCATCAGGACCACGTGCTCTTCCTCGTTGCAGATTAGTTATAGCCTTTTGAACTTCAGGTAGGGTTGGGGATCTACTTTAATGTTCCATTCAGACTGTCTGAGAATAGTGGGTGGTTGTGCATTAGCTGAAGGCCAGCTGAACTGCTCCTTAAAGTGTTCCGCCCATCGTTCTAAACGTCCGGGCTGAGAGCAGATAGGGGTTCCATCTTTTTCCGAGATCGCTTCACTTACACTTGACTTATTAATTCCGGTTTCTTTTATTAGTCTAAAGAGTTGTCTGGTGTTGTCTACAGCCACTGTCTTTTCCATCTCTTTTGCTTTCGTTGCCCACCACTGTTCACGATTGTTCCTTAGACTTTTAGTCAACCTACATTTGATTTGTTTACTCTCTTCGTCGTGTTCAGAGCTTGATGGGATGAATTTACGCGAATCCATCAGTGAAATACTCTTGGAAGAAATCCACTGGTTTTTTTGGAACCCTATGGTTTAAATGACTAATAGATGTTACTGTTGTTTTCACAGCTGTTCGTATGTCTTTCCAAGCAGCATCTGTGTCAGCCTTGTTTACAGTACTGCCTAGATGTGAACTCAGTTGTTCCTGGAATTTACATTTGGATTTCTCGTCCTCCAGTTCAATCCAAATTGGTCTTCTAAGTGTAGTTTTCCTGCGTCCAGTGAGGCGCAGACAAATGCGTGCTCGTATTACAGCGTGATCAGAGTCTAAACAAGTATTCCAATACGAGCGACAATCTTCTATTGAGCCTCTCCAACGATAACTGATGGCAATATGGTCTATTTGAGTCCATCGTTGGTTTGGTGCAGGTGGTCGCCATGTTAGACGATGTCTCTCCTTATATTTAAAGTTAGTGTTTGCTAAAAATAAACGATTGTCTGAGCATAGTTGCAACAGACGATCACCATTATCGGTTCGTTGAGCCGGAATACTAAAATACCCACCTAAATGTCTTTCTGTTTGATTCAAGCTGCCTACCTGGGCATTAAATTCACCCGCTACGACTACTATGTCTGAGCGCTTAGCTTTCTGAAGAAGCTCAGAGAGCTTTCTGTAAAAGTCATTTTTTACTTCATCATGGCTGCAGTCGGTCGGAGCGTAGGCAGAAACGACGAAAAGGCAACGACGTGTGTCCCTATCCTTCCGAGTTCTTACGGAGCCATTTAGCCGGACAGCACACAGGCGACTGTTAACGGGGATCCATTCTAGTAGTGCCTGTTCTGCCCTTGTACTTAGTGCTATGCCTACACCTGCAAGTCCGCGAGAACTAGTCATGGGGTCGCCAGATATACAGAGGGTGTATTTCGTTGGCTGTCCATTTTGGCAAGGTGAGGTCAAGTGAATGACCACACTGGGATCCTGTATGTGTGTTTCGAAGACACAGCATACATCGATAGTACGAGATTCTAGGGTTTTAGCTAAGGAGGCCTGTTGACCGATTTGGCATAGGGTACGTACGTTGAAGGCTCCAATGTGCAGTTCGGAGCGAGGTTTTAGTAGACCTGGGACAGCGTTTCGCGCACTAGAATCGTTGGCCATGGTGACACTTGAGGAGGAAGCCGAAAGAGGAAGTTTAGTGTTTTAAATTGAGGAATAAGGAGATTGATTATGAATACAGTGGTCTTGAGTGCTGTTAGAGGTATGAGGGCAGTTATCACTTCCCGGTTGCTCACACCGTGGAAGGGTTCTTCAAGCGGTACCTGAAGAGGAAATTGGGTTAGAAGTTGTCTTAATGGCCTGAGAGCGTGACCGCAGTGCCCAAGGGACAACTGCTTGAGGTTGGTCACACACGACCTTTTCATGGGTAGTTTTTGTGTTAGCTCCGTTCTTTAAAGGACCTTACCGCCGGAGACGGAAATCCGTGGGATAAGGCGAGGTGTGCATTTTTAGGGTCGACCTTTTCTAACCCCACCCCTCCTTGTGGGAAGGCAGCATCGCTGTTATGCTGGTTGTCTGAAGGAAACACCTTACTGCTGTCACACCTCTGTACAGTCAGCAGTATGACTTCGCCTTCGGACCTTGAGTTTGCTGATTTTAGTCTTGCCGCTCTTCAACCGACCTGTCTGGTATGTTAGGACCTTGAGGAACGATTGTTCCAGCCAGTATAGCTCGATTGGTTCATCACGACAGGCAAGCCCGACCACCACGTCAAGGTAGCAGCAACAGTCGGGTATCATGTCTGTATGAACATGTATACTTGAATACGTGTCACAGCCTACAAGCGTGTTCTCATTACTGGCTTAAATATCAATTGCTTAAATTGCTCGATGACGTATCCGCTTTCCTGTAAATATGCGTTTCCTTAGTCCAATCAATTTATTCGCCCTAATCCTCTCGCATTCACGCACATTCGCCTTAACGTTAGCATTCACTTTGTGTGCTTTTGGATTTGTGATCTGCGCTGCACAATAACAAACTTCATCCGGCGCATCGCACTGTCTTCGGAAATTAAAACGTCGTCAGGGTCATCTAATAACAGTCATCAGGACCAGTGATATTCTAAGTCATATGAATTACGTCGATAATATTCCACTACATCAGGATGTATCAGGCCCAATGTCATTTCTTAGTATTCTATACATCATACTGATATCACCTCGCGATAAAAAGTCCAAGAATTTTAAGCCAAGTAGCATTCGGCGAGTAGAGTGATTCCAGAATTCCATGAATGTCTGTGATTGCTATTTTTTTCTGGGATATCTGTATCACCTTTTCAACGAAGGCTTGAAACATGTGTGAAGTATTCTAATTTCGGCCCCATTAGGGGTACGTTTTCTGTGTTGAACGTGCTCTAACGTAAATTGTCTAAAGTTCGTCCCAATGTATATTCAGTTCTAAATCATCTATCTGCAACTAAACAGTATTGAAGCCTGGTCTTAAGGTAATGACTTATTGATACCAATAAATTTATTGTTAGTCCGGAGGAAAGACAAATACTTTCTCACGGTTGTGTCCAGTGAGATCTAAGGATCCAACAAGAAGTTAAATGTACTGAATATAGTTCCGACTAACTTTCTAGGATGTAGAAATCATTTTGAAGTGCCTTCACAGAATCATTCAAAAGGACAATGATAATACCTTTAGCTCTTAGTAAACAAGAACCTCATACTTCTACGAAGATATGGGCCTTAGGGAAGAAATACTTTGCTATTCCTACGCAGTGTAATTTGAGGCCTCATGTTTGAAAATGGAACGCGGACTGCTAAATGAGAAGTACATAGATAAAATACACTGAAAATTCTGATAATACTCAAGCAATATACCTGTTATAAATCTCGCTTGTGTGAATGGATGAATCTAACTTCGAAACTTTTCACTTTGTGTTTTATTGAATAGCAGCAAATGTCTATCATTTTGAGCGGCACATAGTTTTTGTCGTGGACGTTAGTACTAAAGGCGTGCCCAGTTGTTTGATTACCATCAGAGTGTGGGCTAACACACAATGGCGGACACTAGACCAGCTGAAAAAGATGAACAGCAGAAACAAAACGCGCCACGCAAGGTTATGGAAGAGCGTGTCAAAGGCGTGGTTAAGTGGTTCAATGTGAAGGCTGGATATGGCTTCATCAACCGTCAGGACACATCCACGGACATATTTGTACACCAGTCAGCAATATCACGTAACAATCCAGAGAAGCTCCAACGCTCACTTCAGGAGGGAGAAGAGGTGGAGTTTTATGTTGTTGAAGGAGACAAAGGCGACGAAGCATCCGAAGTGACAGGCCCCGGGGGTGAGCCTGTTAAGGTAAACTGAGTTGAGTGTTTATTCTCGTTTAGGGCAGTGTGTACGCGGCTTTGCGTGGACGTGGACGCAGCCCGCGGATATTTAACATGCGTGGGAGAGGTCGCGGAATGGGACCTGGCGGATTCTCCAGCAATCAAGATTTCGTGCCTTACTACGGTCCTCGAGGTCGAGGCCGCGGCCGTGGGGGCTCAGAAATGGTAAGTTGACGTAAACTAGTATTCTGCATATAGTGAGTCCAGAAGAACACTGGTCGTCAATTTGCAAACACAAATACGTAATCACTTTATTTTTGCCCATTGGGGTCACGTTAAATCCAAATCGTCATGGTGCTTAATTGCAAGCCCCGGCACTAGTCGTCCAAAGACGCTCTTAATCCTACAGTTGGATTGATGAAATATTGTTTAAAGTCTTAGCCACGTTATTAAGATTTTTATAGCTTCATAGGATTATTGCATAACATTTTGTTGGTTTTCGATTAAATATTACACTTTTTCGGCTTCAGTACGGAGGTGGTTACGAATTTATGGATCGCGGTGGGAGAGGCCGTGGGTTCCGTGGACGTGGAAGGCCTCGTGGTCGTGGGTTTAGAGGATCCGGTGGATTCGAGTCTCGGGGTCGTGGCGGCCCTCGTGGGGGAAGGGATAATTATCATAACGGGGATGGTAAGTTGCTAACCTATTTCGATATATTTGCCTGTTATTACCCTGAATCACATGCATTTCTTTTCTGAGCCGGTTCGGAACGATAATACGTTCCACAGCATAGTGAGCTAAAAACTGAAAGTCAAAAATATCGTGATTCCAAATACATTCTCTGGATGCTAAGACTCGCACTAATCGGATGTATGGCAATGTTGTGGTTTTGTTTCTGATATTGCTAACGAGTATTTACCAGGCAATGTTACTTGTGGTTTTGCACTGATGCTTCATTTTTGGTTGTTTCTTAATTCTTTTTTAGGCTCACCGGATATGCGAGACGCTTAAAATTCTCTGATCAAATACTGAGAAACGTCATTTTAGAAATCTGTGTATTCTGTCAGCATCTATATATGCATGTCTACGTTTCAACTCAATTGTTTAATCATCCAACTTGCAGCACATTGGATTGTCACTTGTCTTTATGGTATTTTGGATGTACACCATCTTTTTCCCTTCCTCAGTTTCGACGTCTAACTGGTCAAACTTGTGTCTCAAATTTTTGAATCCAGAGTTCCTGTGGGAATGTTCAAAATGTTTCATTCGATCTTACAGCCTTAGCTTTCTGCGCTCTTCGATGCATTTCTTGCCTAAATGGGCTTTCCATCTGAATTTGATTACTTTTCTACCGTTTCATATCTACTTACTTCCGTCTGCCAATCGCTTGAAGGTTCAGACCATTTGAAAAAGTCTGAGATCTGACTCGTCAGCCATTGGTGAAACACTTCCCTGTAGAGTGTGCATTCTTCTGTCATCTTGTGTGGATATCTGGTGCTGTATGGTTTGACTTTTTCGTAATCAAATATGCATTTTGATACTTTATAAAAATTATTAGAGTAATAATTTCTTTTCTATCTCGCGTTAAAAGCCTTAATATCTAATGAACAACATTTTTTTGTAGTTCTTATTAAACGCAAAGACGTCGTAGCTGCAAAACGTTCCTTACCTCCGGCTTCGATCTATGGAGTCTTAGTTTGACTTCATCGGACCAGTTTCAAGAATGGCGTACCCAAACGGGGCATGGACATCTTGTTCGTGATCGATTTTAAAATCAAGGGAGCACTACTATTCGTTATTCCGAACGTTTCCTTGCAACTTGACATATCCGATGTGACCTATTGGTCTGTTTTCATGGGTGCTGGTGTAATATAGGTGTTTCCACACGAGGTTCGTAATTTTATGACGTACAATGTATGGCAGTGTCTTGCGGTATTATTGACTGCCGTATAACTAGCTCGTGTTAATTTTAGTGTAGTAGTAATACTTGTACGTGATAGCTATGCGCTAACCCTACGGTCACGTGCTAATAGTTGTGATTTCACAGCCCAAGCAGTCTTATGTGGCATAACAAATTGGGATATCTTCGCAGCTAGTGGTATCTCAATTCGGACTAAAGGTCGCCTTGTTAATTTAACATGATTGCTGACTTGGAGCGCGCAACATAGCGGGCATGCTCTGGATGCAATTGTCTGTCAAAATGCGGAATGTTACCTTAAGATTCGATTGCATCGGCACCTGAAGCGAAGATGAGCGTGTTGACCGCTTCATTCACGTTGGGAATCTCATCAGCATTTGCGGTCTGGTGTGTGACGAAATTTCAGCACGGATACAGAAGGCCCGTCCAGCTTTGCCAACTTGCATCATTTATGGCCGATGCGAGATATCCGTCTAGCAATCAAAGGATGGGTTTACTGTGCAGCATTTCGTCCCGTCCCCTGGTACGGCCGAGAGTGGGGAGAGTCTACTCTCCCTCTCGAAATGCTCTCACATGGCCAGCGAATATATAGCCTCTGCCAGGGAAGTCCTACTCACTGCCTTCTCGTGGCGGGGGCGTTAATTACGAAAGTGAGAGGACGAAAAGCGAATGTCCGGCGCTATAACCGGATTGGTGGACCCTCCGTGTCCACCTAGGGGAGTTGGAAAACCCTGATTCCAAACCAATGGTGCACATGGGCTCCAGTATCCTGATGGAACGAATGGCGGACGAACCTGTCATTGGTCAACGGCAACCATGGGACTGCATCTCCTCACGATGCTCCACTGCCTTGTGGATCAGACCTTTAGGTCAAAGGCTCGGGGTGTGGTCCCCTAAGAAAACCACCTGCTTCGGTTTGGGCATCCGGGCAGTATCACAGCCCACACACAAATGAATGAAATGATTGTGTGGAGCATATGTACCTGGTGCCCTTTTGTACCAATATATATGTGTTTAAATAAATAATACCTTATGGCAGGGAAACATTGCCGATAAGAGTAGAGGATATTCGTAGGCTACTAGTATTCGATCATAGGTGTCTTCGAAGCATTGCTCGCACATTCTGGGACTGCCGAATAAGTAATACAGTTGTTAGGAAACGGGTATTAAGTAAGGATGGAAAATCGATTGACGAAGTAGTGAAACTTCATTAGTTGAGATGGCTGGGACACGTGTTACGTATGCCCAACCACCGACGTGCAATGCTTTATGGTGTAGGAGTTAGTAGGAAGAAAGCTAAGGGCGACCAAAACGTGGCACAAGTCCGTGAAATCACCGACAATTGGACTGAGCCATCCGGGTAAGGTTGGGATTTGCGAGATGATAGCAATTGATGGTTAGAGACCTTGAAAAACACGGCTCAAGATCGTTTGCAATAGCGAAGGTTCATCCATTGTTTGTGTTCTCCCAAATTATAATTAGAATTCTTTATATCAATATCCTTTTTTCTTTCCAAATTTATTTCACTGTCTGGTAGAAAGTGAATGCTCCTACCGAATACGAATACTGAACCAGTTTTTCTGAAACCACGTACGTCGTTTAAAACTGGCTTCTTTCAACGTTCACACACTAATGCAGATCGGACAATAGATAGGGTGGGCTATATCTTTGGAAAGTCTTAATGTTGACGTTTGTTGTCTATCCGAGACCTGTATTCAAGACTCTGGTGAAGTACTACAAATTAGCTCGCCGTCTGTCGCTTCCAAAAGCTTGTTTCACGTGCGTTTATCCGGGGACTCTGTGGCATCTTCGTCTGGTCTTACTGGCGTTGGTGTCGCACTAAGCGCTAGAGCTGGGGCAGCACTAGTCGATTGGATCCCCAGTAACAGTCGGTTATGTGTTGTTAGATTAGAAAGTTCCATCAATGTGAGAATAAACCGGCGTGAGAAACAATGTCTTTTTGTCATCTCCGCTTATGCCCCAACAGATTGCAGCCCAGATGCAATCAAGGACGAATTCTACCAACAGTTGATTGTTCTTCTCCAGAAAGTGAGCTCGATAGATATAGTAATACTAGCCGGAGACTTGAATGCACAGGGGGCCACACCCCGAGCCTTTGACCTAAATGTCAAACCCACAAGGCAGTGGAGCATCGTGAGGAGATGCAGTCCCATGGCAGCCGGTGACTAACAATTGGTTCATACGTCATTTGGTCCTTCAGGATACTGGAGCCCATGAACACCATTGGTTTGGAATCAGGGTTTTCAACTCCCCGAGGCAGACTTTTCGTGTCAACCAACCCGGTTAAAGCGCCGGAAATTCGCTTTTCCTCCTCTCAATTTCGTAAACAACACCACCGTCACGAGAAGGTAGTGAGTAGAACTTCCCTGACAGAGGCTGTATACGCGTGGCCGTGTAAGAGAATTTTGAGAGGGTGGGACCTCCCCACTCTCGGCCGTACTAGGGCATTTAGAGGCACGTCGTTTGTGTAACAACTATCGGGGGATAAGTCTACTTCCGAGTGCGTCCAAACTACTGGCTTCTGTCATTCTTCGTAGGTTGTTTAAAACCTGAGAAAGATTGACTCGCGAGGAGCAGGCTGGTTTTCGTTCTGGTCGAGGATGCATTGATCATATCTTCACCCTCCATCAAATGTTAGAACACCGTCATATTTATCACAGGCCAACAATCGCAGTGTTTCTTGATATCAGGGCTGACTTCGACTAGTTGGACAGGACTGTTCTCTGGGATTGTCTATTGAAGGGTGTGACTGGGAAGTTTATTAACATCTTAAAGGCCCTATATACAAACACCTCACACAGAATGAGGACATACAACTACCTCGCTTCATTGTCCCATACCAACAGTGGGGTCAGGCAGGGTTGTCCAATCTCACCATTCCTCTTCAACTTTGCCGTCGATGACATTCTGTAGACAACTCTGATAGATGTAAGTAATGGTGTTGATTTGTTGCCTGGAGAAAGACTTCTCGACCTTGAGTATGCGAATGATATTGTCTTACTTTGCGATGGTGCCCAAGTCATGCAATCCGCACTTAATCAGTTGGCAATCAGTGTCCGCAAGTACGGTACAAGACTCACAGGATTCTAATCCTGTACTCACCCTGGGTGGTGATCAGATTGGAGTAGTTTGGAAGTTCGTGTATCTAGGTAGCTACATAAGTGCTGGTGGTGGCGTGAGTGATGAGATTAATTTACGTATAGTAAAAGCCAGAGCGGCTTATGCCAATCTGGGCCATCTTTGGCGCCTTCGTGATGTTATTCTGGCTGTAAAAGGTCGGATCTACAACGCATCGGTGAGAGCAGTTTTGCTCTATGCTTGTGAAACTTGGCCTCTCCGAATTGAGGATGTTAGACGACTCTCTGTGTTTGATCATCTTTGTCTCTGAAGGATCGCTGACATCCAGTGGCAACACCATGTTAGTAATGCAGAGGTTCGGCATCGTGCGTTCGGGTGCTTTTGTGCCCAAAAGGATAAAATATAGGAAAACGTATTTAAAACACTTGCACATTAGAAAGTACTTTTAAGAAATAAATGATAATTCATAATCATCTACCTGTTCATGGAAATCCTCCACAGTAAACTGGGTATAACCATTAGCAATTAGTGTATCTTTACACTCGTCACACTTCTTCTTGAATCTAAAAAAGGATAAAATCAACTTATCCAAGGTGTGGTAAATATGAAATTCGATTTGGAGAAAGATGTTTGTAGGTGGTGGGAAAGAAGTCCTAAACCTAGTTCTCATTTCTGTCGAGACTCATCGGACAGATACATATGGGACCTCAATGGAGGATTTACTCCCTCAGACGAAATCTGTACTGTTAGTCATCGCAATTTCATACTTTCTTAATGGAATACATCAAAATTGATTTGTGTATATAGTACCATAGGTTTGGTTAGGACTGGGAAGAAAAATCATTTACATATTCGGGTCCCATATAGGACTAATTACAATCAATTCGGATTAACAATAATGCCTTTGACCATAATTTTGAATTCTCACAAGACAATGTTTTAATATAAATATATGTACATTACTCCTAAAACTCGTAATTTTTTTAATGATTTCTCTTCATACCTAATTATAAATAAAGTGAATAGGAAATAATTGTAATTAGATTAGTTACAGTGCCCACAGTAAATCAGCGACACACACACACTTCCGTTCACTGAATTGAGTCAAACTTGTTATATGATAACTGAAGATAATACCCGGTTGTCTAGAACAGAGTAGGTAAGAGGCGATTCAAACTTGAGAAACAGTTAAAAGAATTAGAATATTTTATCAAAAAAACTATTACGTCTATTTCGTTTAATAGCGTCTTGGTAAAACAGAGTCGCTACACTTAACAGAAAGGATAAAGTGGAAAAATCATGAAGATTTAGGGAAATTAATACACATAATATGTATCTCTACGTGGGTAAGAAAATGACGTTTCATCGTAATTGTTCGCGACTTGGATACGAAGTCAAATTTGTTAACATCTGGAAATAGCAAATCTAACACTTTTCTCGAATCTTGGTTAGGAACTCATGACGAGTTTACCGGGGAAACCCAAAAACATTGACCTTTACTGAGTGTTATCACATCAAAAATCTTTAGAATGTATTATCAAACAAAGTTCAAAATAGAAGAAACTATGGTGACATACACAAGATATGTCTGGACCATCAGAGTTGAAAACCCTCCTTAGATTCAATGATGGACATAAATATAACTTACACTAGGTTTTTTTAAAAGTGAAGAGTTATGGGAGACGATAAACTGACATATACTAAACACCTTTGATGTAATTTCCTATAGCACTCTTAAGATATTATGGGACGACGGATATCATTATAATGGGAAAAATCTATATATAACCCTCCACAAAAACTAATTAACAATATCCTAATATAACTATTTATCACAAAGCATATGGTAAAAAGTTAAAACACAATGTATCGTCAAATTAAAAGCACTTATATCGTATACAATAGCAATATTTAGAAGTAACTAATTGAAAATTGATGTGACAATTATTTCTAAAATATTACACAACCACCTTTATATATCGGTTTTATCCTAAGGTAACTACGGCAATGCCCTTGACCAGTGTTTGAGATTTCTTTGGAGAGGGTTGCACGCCTTACCACTAAGGTAATTGGACTTATTTCCCGAACCATTTCAAAAAACAAACTCCAATATTAAACTTTTATCGAGTGCGAATCCAGACCGGTAATGGGCCGGTGCAAAGCTTAACATTGAAGATCTGAGTCTATTGATTTACACTTATTCTATTTTAAAAAACCATTGCGGTAAACAGTGTTTACAAATAGTGGTTTGTGAAAAAAGAGTGAAATTCGCTTCAAAAGTTATTTATCATTTTTAAATTGAATTATTTATTTATTTAAACACATAAATATTGGTACAAACAGGCACCAGATATATATGCGCCACACAAAAAAAATGTCATTTCATTTAATTGTGTGAGGGCTATGGTACTGCCCGGGTTCCCAGACCGAAGCAGGTAAAAGATTGAAGCAAATAAATTATGTACATTAACGAAGACTGACTAAAAATATGATCATACTGAAAGTTGTAACGCAAGTACGGTTAGGAAAGTAACTGACACAACACGAAAAATACGAAGGTACAAAAACTAACAAACCTCCCAGCTTCTTTAATTAGCTTGCCATTTAGCAGGTACTCGATATACGCAAAACCAAATGCTCGATAAAAGCAGTTTCCATCACGTCGAAGTCGACGAATCCCTCGGTAATTTTGTTTCATAAGCTGTTGGAAATTAGGAAAATAAACCCTGTCACAGACCAATAAACAAAGCCTACTGAGAACACAATCATGACTTATTTGTATACACACTCATCACTAACTTGAGCGCACAAAAGAACGGAAATACAGTTGCTACCTTGGTAAACAATCTTCTACTTAATAATCTTAATGGTAAAAATTCAAACTGATCTAGCAGATTTTAGTTTGGTTAGTTGGTCTTCATATAAAAAAGCTTTAAAATGACTTACAAATATCTTATGACATACAGTGAATACAAAGTATGCTTTTAATTTACTTAAGCATGAGTGCCAACGTGAAACTAGTAACACGATTGCACCTCTGAATGGCGCAATTAAGATACCGATCCAAACACGCTAAAATGGTTTTATTGCCCACAAAAATAAAGCACAAGCTTGTCAATAAAGCTAAAAAATGCGTAAGAGGGGCCGACCTCTGGGTTACTGAGACACACAGTAAGAAGACTATTTTGATTAGCCTACTAAGCCAACGTAAAAAGAATAAGTCGTCACTAACAACTGCCTTGAAATAAATGAAAAACAAATAATATAAGTCGTTGAAACAGATATAAGGACTGTTAGGTAGGAATATTACTTACATTAGAACCCGATTTATTTGTGAGTTCCATATTTAGTCGCTCTAAAGATAGTGTAGTTTTTAAATAACTTAACAACCACAACTAATAAGCCAAATAACACCCAGATAATATATCCATCAATGAAATTTATTTAACAATCAACCTATTACCCATAATACCATGCTGCACTAGAACCGCAGCAGATGACTCTGGTAAACCAGTAGTTTTCTACCACATTTGATACTAGAAAACGACTAGTGTGAACCTTCGTTCTTTCTAATCCATGATTGTTGTTAAGCCGTAAGATACGAACCAATAAATAATACTTACCAGACACTACATGGGTGCGACGTTACATAAAGCAAAGCATTTTGAAAAAAGTTTAAACAGTTAAATATGATTGGAATCATCGAGTTGCGCTTTCTATATTTAAGAACCGCAATAGACAGTCACTAACAAAAAACATAACAGCTTTTGTTTTTAAGCTACTTTGTAAATTCATTACGAAATTCGTAATTTCTAACCTTTAGTTTTTCCAAGTAAACTAAATGGCCAGTGAAGTCTTCATCGAGTGTCGAAAGTGGAAGTATTGCAGAAATTAGGCACGTAGACTTCATCTATAGCACAAACATAATACTATTTGGCAAAATTACATCTTTTTCGATCGCTTCCTGTTGAGCCTGAGTAGCCTCATCGGTGTTTTCGTCTGCGGAACTAACTAAAGCTTCTAGTTACCGTTCATTACGAGATATTCAAAACAAAACGAACCAATACCCATTGACGACAAGACCAACCACGCGCCCCCCAACGACCTTAAAATCCTATGTCCAATATCTTTATCGCGCTGTGGTGACGGCTGAGGGATCTATAATCTTCGAACAGTCGCCCTAACTCTTCTTTGGAACCATAAGCAGAGAGGATGCTTACGAACTAACTGCTGTAGCACATGCTGTCGAGTTCGGCTCTAGCTATTTTAAGATTGCCTGGTTCTAATCTCCTGGATCAAACAAACACAGGTGAGCTTGTGAAAGAATGGTCTAGTTTGATATTAGTGTGGTGACCGGCTTGTCTCGATAATAACACGATTGGAATAACAGAAACAATTATTATTGTAACCAATTGTACCAGCGATCGCTTTACTGTTCTTGTTTAACTGTATCAGACTCACTTCTGGTTCCGCTATCCGCCCTGTTCGATTCGAGCTTTCTTACGCTCTGCCCATTTTGCCTGTACTCATTGGCACGTCTCGGTATTCGTTCGATACCACGAGATCGTCAATAAATATACTTTATCTGGACTAATTAAAGTCTTCTGGTTTGCAAGCTATCAAAGGAACCAAGTCGTTGCTGGGCGCGTAATCGGATTGTGGTGGTGATCATAGTCCGTCCTCGACTCGACGTCACTACATTAGTACATATATATATATATATATAATAATCCCAAAATTGTAAATACGACATGATTTGACTACCTAATCTATGAGATCTTAAGTGGAAGTCAAGTCAAGGTCTACACAGACGCTTCCTATCATGACAATCAGCAATATAACATCTAACAGTCCTGAAGAACATATTAAGAACGGAGAGAGGGTAGTATATCCAACTCAAAGAGCAGTAGGTTGCAAAGAGTGTCCACGCTTGCGTAACCGAGCCTTGCCATTCCGATTCCTTGTTGCTGCGTTCACCAGTGTTGATCTTTTGTAAGTGTCACACTCCACATTTGAATCTTCCCATTAATCATACTCACAGCTTCAAAGATCGCGTGGTTAAAAACCAATACCGCTACAAGCCTAAAGTTTGGATTCCATGACTTACCATCAGCTTACTTTTAAGTGGTTGGTGGTCAGGTTTGCTTTGGTTTGGAGATTCTGCGAGTATATCATGTAACTTAATAGTCGTTACTTGCGGAGTGTGTATCAAATTTAAAGGAGTGATGTGACTTCCTTTGCCTTTTGTGGAGCTTGAAGTTTCTTTAAGTGTCAAATATAGCTTCT